TTGTGCCACCTTGCAGCTGATGCCAACCGCTTAGAAGGAAATAAAGTCACACTTTGCCTGATCTCTAAGGTTTGCCCGGATGTTGACAGTTTTACCCATTTGTTAGGTGGCAGGTTCTCATCCATGCATATGGCTCAGCTACTTGGGCGGAGCTGGAGGGTGGCAGAGCGGTGCTTCCAATAATTGAAAGTTGTCACAAATTGCATACCCTGCGTACGGCATTCCATTTTTTTTTCTGTAAGCTGACCTGTTAGCATGTGCCCCAAATATTGAACAGCAGTTTTACATAATTGCACTTGAAAAAAATGTGAGGGATTCTGTGTAGGTATTGTAACAAGATGGTGGTAGGAAAAGGAAATCGAGGGAGTACCATGTTATTGATTGTTCTTCAGTCTTGCACAACTCTGTATTTTGCATGGCATCATTATTCCCTGGTGTAGCAGTGATTTGACTACGGGTCGAATGCCTTTTCTTTTTTCTTGAGAAAGCGGATATTGTGCAGTCATTGGCAGTTAAGCATCAGGTTTTTAACAATATATGGATGATTGACGAATAACACAATTCTGCACTTCCGTGTGTCACATACTCATAAAAATTCCTAACTTTTAAGAATACACTTGTAAATATTGTTTCCCTGGTGAGATAAAGTAAAATAATACCAAAGGTGTTGTGGGTTTTTAACAAGATTTCTGCATGGAATTTTGATCTAAACATCAATAACCACATTAAGTCTTGATGTTTCACTTATGTCAAAACAAATTGTGACCAAATACATTTTGTCCACAAAATGGTCGTCATGTGGTGTGACACTATAATGTACATTTTGAATGGGCATTAGTTTGGACATCATAATGATTGAGGGGGCCGCACCCAACCAGGAAGGTACAGTACACTTCTCTGGAATGACTTGTAGATTTCTTAAGGCGACTTGTGTTTTTGATTTTTAGTTGAAAAGCTATGAATCTGTTATATTAAATGCTGCCAAGTGGCTGATCACGTTCTAACTATTGGCTAACTGTTCCAGTTTGTTAATAAATTAGCTTGACTGCTCAAAATGTCATTTGGTGTGACATTCATAATTGTGATAAAACAACACTTTAATGCTGGTGATTCATGAAAATATCGATAAAATAGTGTCAGCAAGAATCGATAAAGATTGTGGAGCCGTGTCCCACTTTGCACAATGATCTAAAAAATAAACTGAAATATATCAAATTTTCACAATGAAACGTTAAATCTCAAATGGTCATGATCTAAATATTCACTGAAGTAAGTTAAAAACAAGGACCCTATTCTTATCTTATATGAAATATCTTTGATGTCACACCATATGACAATTTAAGGCACTCAGGCAGTAAATTGATGAAAAAATACATATTTCAACACAAAATCAAAAGGGACACATGAATATTTGGAAAGTTAAGAGTCATAATAGTGCAGTTTAACTTACACAACAATTCTCTTCCTAATCGCTTGCAGCTGGTTTACCATCTCCATCCATTGTTAAGCGTGTTTCTTCATTTGTTTTGCTAATTTAATTAGTGGAGCTTGAATCACGCCTTTTTCAGTTTGGTCATTGTCCTGACAGCTCTATAAGTTGGGCTGTGGAGGTTGTTGGCCTTCCCCTGACTTCTTAATGGAGGTGCCGTAGGCAGGGTTAGCTTTGATTGTGATGAGGCATGTGTCTTACCCA